CTGTCTCCATCAGGCGTTCAAATGTTGCAGGGGTGTTAGAGAGTCCAAAGGGCATAACTTTAAACTGCCAGAGTCCGCTAGTCAACGCAGTTTTCTCTCGTAACTGGAGTGCATGCTGCTAGCACTTCACCCTTTTGGATGTTTCTCGGTCTGTGGCTAACATTCGCCACTCTCACAGGGATGAAATCTTTCAAAAGGTCTACTAATGAGGAGGCCACTAATACCTCTCTTGGGCTATTTTCAGGGTATTCAATTAGTCTAAATCTGAAGCTATTCTTTTCTATGGAGCCGGCTATTAATAATTCTGTCATCGGAGGGATGGTGACATCTGTTTTTGTTGTTACTTGGTGAGCTGAGGGAATGCCGCTCTTCATTTCAAACACATTTATATCTTCCTTTGTAGAGTGCATTTCGTTATGTTTAAAGTCCAACATAAAGTCGTACTTCCGCAAAATGTCCAGTCCGAGTATTAATTCGTCCACGATGTTAGTGACGAAAGCTAAGTGCTCGTAGGTCTCATTTCCGAAGGTAATGATGATGTTAATTTTACCTTCAATGGGAATCTTATCACCTGTCACTGTAAAAGTCACATAGGATGGAGTCCAGCGCAACGTTTCGCTCAATTTTCGAGCTACATCTGTTCTCACGATGGTAACATTTGCTCCCGTATCTATGATCATTTTACAAAGATGCTTATTCACATATCCTTCGACGAACAGTCCGTTATCTCCGCCGCTCATTGAAGAGATTTGAAGAACTTTCAATGGGGCTGCATCTTTGCCCGGCTAACTCTGCCCGTGAGATTGCCGCACTTTAGTTTCCCTGGTTTTTGTTCCGCGAGAGCTCTCTCCCAGTCTTGATTCTCGTGACAGTTTCTGCTGAGATGTCCTTCCAATCCGCAGTTCCAGCACTTGACTATTTTCATCCCAGTATTGTTTTTATTAGGTCTTCTAACGCCACTGGAATCTTTTATTTCCTTTTTTAATTTCGAGATATCATAATTTGGATCTTCTATTTGAGCCGCTCTAATAGGATGGCGATCTCTTGGAGTTGCTTGTTGAGCCGACTCGAACTTCATAGTGTAGACCAAGGCAGATTTCAGGTCTTTCAGATCCGCCAATCTGAGAGCTTTCTGAATTTCCACATCCTTAACGACATCGACAAAATGCATCAGGGCCAGGTTTTCTCGGACATCAGGTGAACAGTCCAGATATGCTTGATGCACCAACTGTAGAGATATGCAACTGTAAAGAATGTTTTTAAAAGTATGCAGTGGTATAAAAGTGTTTTTTTTTTTAAACCTGTTGGACATTTCTATTTTGAATTCATATAGTTTATTTCTGATAAAAACTGGAAACAATGACTTGGCATTGAAATAATTTATTAGAAACAGTATATAACATATTTTGAGAAAACTCGAAACCCTTACTGCATTTCAATCTGGTAGACGAAACGAAGAATTGCTTGGCGAATGAGCTGGCAGTAATTTTGTCAAAAGATATTTTTGGACAATGTTCTGCCTACTGCTGGGAGAAGAAATGGCCAAAGAATATCTCTTATTTTTAGTTGCACCATCAAGGGCCGAAAGAAAATGCAGATGTGTGACAACTTGGTGTCTGAAGTGTCAAGTGGGTTTATGTGTTGGATACATTTTATTTAGTCTAAGTTTATATGCTAGCGGTGTAAGTTTGTATGTTTTTATAGAATTATAAGTTTTATATATTTATAGAATTATAAGTTTAGGCAAATATTTATAAATTGATTTTGTATTGTTTAGGATATAACGTTACTCTTTTCTTTCTTATGATGCTTCCGAAGCTAAATGTAATATGAATAAAGAAATTTTGCAAAATCTTAAAATTTTCTCAAATTTTTGTGTTTGATGGCGTAGTCGCGTATAATTTTACCCATAGTTAAAGTGTTAAAGATGATTGCTATTTATAGCCTAAAACTGACTGGAGGTCATGCGCTGGCTACATAATTTTTTTATCTTTTTCCCAGTTGCTAAATTAACTATCTGTATCATTTTGTTTAGTGTGCATTTATTTAAAAGTTTAACCATTGGGTTATTTGGAAATACTTTTAACTTTTTCCATAGTGTTGCATAATTGAAGAAAATTGATCAGTCAGAATATTTTCATATTATTTAAACAAAATTTTGAGAATATATTGCAACAAATGAAGTATTTAAAAATGGAAATTAAGTTAATATTTTCATCATATTTCAGTCATCTGTTTACACAAAGGTGTGGAACTGGGGATGCATATAAAATTTTTTATTGATAATGGTGATGTTTAAGTAGCAGTAGTAGTTTGCACTATTTTGTAAGTCTGAAGGGGTTTGCAGGTACGAAAGTCAGAAGTGGTTTATAGATTTTCAATCTATGGCTATCATTTCAGGATTCAGGTTCTGATAAGTTAATGGAAACTGAATAAAGATAACCATCATATAACTTCACTTACACTAGCTGAGAATTTAAATTTATCTGCAACAACTCTTAGATGACCATTGACTCTGTTATGAACAATGCTTGTCCGTAGGGCTTCCCTTGTCTTCACAAGATGAGGTTGACAATCGAAGACTTCTTCAGCACATCTGCGAGCAGCTCGGCCCCCCTGCTCTTGCTGTGCCCTTTAGGGATTTGATAAAACTTTTTTGTTTGTTTGTTTGTTTGTTTTTGTTATCTGCATCCCATGAAGTAAAGCCTCTTGATGCCCATGAAGGCTACCTTCTGGTGCTGATGCCATGGAGTACATAGTGAGTTTTGAATCCCTACTCTGAAAGCATGAGATAAGATTGCATGCCTGTGAAATAAAAAAGGGAGTATGCTATCACTGGCGTATTCGAGTTGCAGGCATCTCAAACATTCTATAAATGTGAAAAAGCTACCTGGTTGATCCCTGCCAATAGTCATGTGTTTTTCTCAAAGATTAAGCTATGCATATCCAAGTACATACCATATTAAAGTGAAACTGTGAATTGCTCATTAAATCAATATGGTTCTGTGGATCATACCATACTACTTATATAATTGTGGCAATTCTAGAGCTAATACATACAGCAGAGTTGTAATGTTTGGATCTCGTATGAATTTAGTGAAATTTATTTAACACAGTGTATACACATTCACAGTTTGTATTAAGATTATCAAAATGGTTCATTATTTAAATAATTGATAACTAGTGAGGAAAAAGGGCTTGTTTACAGTAACATTGAATGCAAAATGCCATTGTTCAAACCTAGTGAGCCAACTCAAATAATATCAAAAAGAAGATCGAGTTTAATTTAAAAAAAATTTGAGTTTAAAAAGATTTATTTCAAACTTTTATCAAAGAATGGAACAATCAATTCCAATACATATTATTGTTAACTAACAAAGCTAAAGGATGCTTTGCAACATAAATGTCCAGAATAGGTGTCATAAAGTTATTATAGTTCATCATGATATGCCAATCACGTATATCTTTAGTTTACTTATCAGACTATTTTATCCTGATTGGAATATGTTGCCACATCTAACAGTAACATTCTTAGCCGTAACATTCTTTCACCAGCCTGCCAGTTATTTCTTGCTTTGCAAAACTCTTGATCTGCTTAAACTGTTTTTTTAAAGAAGTATTGATTTCCACTTGGTAAATCTTGTTTTCAGAAAGAGATCAGAAGTTTTTTGAAAATTGAAACATGAAACTGCTTGGAAGATTGCAAATGGTTATTCAGCAAAATGATTAATACAACATTATTGATTAAGGTTTGTACAATTTTTTAACGGAGGCACATGAAAGTAGCTATTTACTTGCCAGATTTAAGAGCATGGTTTCATTTAAAATATCCCACTCAGATGTGTTGCATAGTTATCAAATGATTTATTTTTAAATTTAAAAGAAATTGGAAGTGACTCAGAACAACTTATTTTCAATACCTAATAAATAATATAGTACAAAGTCTGTAATCGGGACATCCATTATCCAGAATGAACTATAATCTGGACCTCAAAGCCACAAACTTTTTTTTTTTTTTTTTTTTGTATGCGTTTATGCATGCGCATTTAATGTATAACAGATGGTATAAGCTAGGTTAAATTATCTTTACTGATTTTAAGGCATTTCAGTTAATGTTACAGATTATGCTGTTCCTTAATCATCTAATTGGATCTGACGTATTATTTTTTGCAGACTGTTAGAACAATTTTATAAAAATTAAGCTTGAACTTTCGATTATGTCAAAAAGAATTTCCAATTCTGGAGCTGCCAAAGGATCTACAAAATGAAAGCATGTTTCAATGTACCACTTTCGATAGTGAAGAAAGTGACAGAGAGGTTATTGAAAATGAAACAATTTTGATTGACAAGTCAGTCAGTATTCTCGACACAGCAATTACAGAACTTTAACAGTGGAACTTTGTAACTGAACAAGAAATTAATGTCTGTTTATAGAAGAGAGAATTAAAGAGAAAGTATTAGCACAGAAAACAAAGCAATTTAAACAACTGGCTTTGAAAGAAATGGTAAATAAAGTAAAATAAATATTAAGCTTCTTTTTTTTTTTTTTTTTTTTTTGTAAATTTTGATGCCCTTTAGATCATAATTGCTCTTTATTTCATAAATTACGGCTTCATAGTTTTAATTGTATAATTTCTGCATGCCATCTTACCAGATTTAAATTGATGATCTATAATCCGGAAAAACCCCTAACCCGGAATCACCGAAGTCCGGATTACGGACTTTGTACTGTATATTACTTTTTTTCTGATATTATGTTAAAAATCAATTCTGTTCTTACAATAATTGAAATAAAAGAGAGTTGTACAGTATCTGAAAGATAATTTAAGTAATTTTTTTATAAATTTTCCTAATTGGGAATATTGGCAGATAAAGGAATAGTTAAATAAATAGTTAATATGAGAAATTTATGGTTATTTTGGAGGCAGATAATAACCAAAATGTAACTTTTTTTTTTTTTTTTTAACATTCAGGCTTATTTTCCTTCTTCTGTTTCATAGGAATTGAAGATGAAGAGAACTGGCATGGAAAACCTTTAGGAGCCAAAGCCGATGGAGCCATTAAAGATCTTTTAAGTGTTATAGTAAATGCAAGTTCATCACCACAAGCTCCAAGTCAGCCCCTGAAGGATGATGCCTCACCAATTGATAATACTCCTGTTTCACTTTCAGAACCACCTAATTATACATTAGGCGAAACAGTTAGTACATTTAAATCATAATCAATGTTTGTAAAATGATATTAAGTCATGATATCCCATATCATTTTAATATATAATTGAAATTTTAAGTAAAATGTTGGAAATAAAAGCTTGTATGTGACTCACTAAAACATTTCTTCCTTTGTATCCGGATGAAAGCGGGATTGTGGTTCTTGCAGTGTTATTTTGCATGGTAGAATTTCTAGATTTCTCGGGAAACAGAAACTATATAACAGGGACCATTGGAATGTGGATTCTTCTAAACTGCTCAATGTGCAAGTACCCCCTTTTTTTCTGTGCTGAAGGGGCTAGTGGAACCAACATTTATTTACATTCAGGTGAAGAATGTGTATAGGAATGCACGTATGTAATGTAGTGCAGTTTTCTAATGGTGTAATGATTTTAATCATAAATACATGAATCAGCTGATGTGCCCACAATCAGATCAAACGTATTTAGTCGTTGCTGAAGAATCGGGCTGCAGTGGAAATCCTTGTGGAAAAAAATGTTGGAGATCCATCTGGGAGACTGCAGACAAGTTAACTGTGAGCAAGTGATGTTGCAACTTCTTAAACTGAGCTGTTATACTTCTTAAATCAACTTGCTCAGTATTTCATAAAGCATGTAAGTAAACATGCTTGTTGAATTTTCTCTAGGTATGGATTTATTCTGATGGCAACTGAATCAGGCTTGGATTCTACTTTAAGTAAACTCTCCAAACATTTTTAGAAGAAAATAGGAATTTTAATAACTATTTATGTACTAAAATATTACTATTACTCTTTTAAATCTTTTTAAAATACAGTAGTAGTCCAGAAATCCGCAAAGCTTGGGACCAGAGGTTGTGTGGATTTTAGGATTTTGCAGATTTCGGGACAGAAAAGATAAAGGCTAAAAGTGCAAAATAAACAAAGCATATTAGATACATTTAATTAAATCATTATATACATTATTACAATAATTTATTATATGCATTTATTATTACATATATAAATTGATTATATTATTCATTTATATTAGGCTCCTCTATTTTTAAATCAGCATGAATCTGCTTCTCCTTTTCTCTCAGGAGCAGTCCTGAAATTGGTACTCCATCACTCGGGCTGCTGCCAGAACCACTCGTACGAGACTGCATCGAGTTTGCCGATTTCGCCTCATGTAAAGATTTCTGGTTTCGGAGTTAGAATCACTATTGCTGTAAAATTTTAACAGCTTTTCTTTATTTTTCCATATATCATACACAATCCGTGTCGCAATTCCATACGATTCTGCTATAAACTGAGGAGTAGCACCTGCCTTTCATCTTTTGCAGAATTTCCACTTTTTATATTACCATCAGTGCAACTTGTTTACGTTTTTCAACGTTACAAGCAGTAAAATCATGAGTGCGTTTCTTATCTGTCATTGTATTAAAAAGTGCTGAAATTTAAAATATTCTTAATTTATCCACAAAATATCCGGATATTAGTAATAAAAAAAAAGGCAGCACTAAACAATATCGTGAAATGACAACTCGGAAAGTACAACAACGTGAATTGTGTACTTAAAAGAAGAGTTAAGTGAATCATTTGCTTTTTTTACCTCTATGCAGATTGGAGGGAAAAAAACTTTTATCATGATGTCAATAATTTGGTATTTCCGTTGTCTCATTTTATTCAGTAATTATGATGTCATTTATCCGGTAAGTATTTTTTCTTAGATATTTCTTACTCCATGTTGCAATTTCTGAAACCTATAAACTGAATGTTTATATTTTGAGAGGCAATGTGATTTTCGGTATTTGATTGTATACTCTTTTAAATTTGGAGTTTCATTGTGTTTAATGTTCAGAATGCTGCCTAAACTTGTTGTGCTCCTCTTTCGAATTCCACCAGTCTCTGTACTCCTGATGTTTTCCCTCTTCACTGTTGCCAGGTTTATTTTAGTTTCTTCTGAAGTCACAGCAAGGAAAATGTTAGCACTATTCTGCATGAGTGTGCAAAATAGCTTGCTAAACATCTGACAGAAGCTCAGAAATCTTTGTAAATGGGTATTTGCATACAGCATCTGTTTCGTTACCATATAAAGGGGAACAACTTTCGTTTGCATAATTATGGCTTGTGACATATTTCTTGCATCTTGTGTACAGCTATATATTTATTTTGTCAAGAATAGTATATTTATGAAGATGCATGTGAGTGACACATAATATCACTTATGTGTCACTCATAAGTATGCAAGTATATATGTATTCAGTAAGTAATAAATTGGTTTAGGAATTTATTTAGTCCTACTTTCATTTTGTTGCATCTTATATGTTTAAACTCGTATTTTAAACTTCTTTTAAATTTTAGATGTTATTTTTATACTTCAGTGCTAATAATATCATATAGGCTGTGTAATGCCTGAGATGTTAGTTTAAAAATTCACCTCTTCACCTCAAATCATAAATTAACACTGTTTTTATTATAATAAAATGGTGACCTTTTGTCCATACCATATTACTTTGAATTTAAACTGCAGTAGGATTTTAAAAGCAGAAAAAATAATTATTTTGCATATTTTATAATTAACAATAACCGAGTGTGAATTTAAACTGCTGTAGGATTAAAAAATTGTAATAACATTAGAAATATTGAATAATAGGTGTTAAAAATAAGAAACATTTTTATTTACTAAAATAGGCATTAATATAAATACGTGCTACTTAATTTATTGAGAGTCTTCAGATATTATTGCTTTCAGCATTTAAATTCACATCATCATTGCTTCAGTGTCATTTAATTCACTAGCAGGGCTAAAGAAGAATTTGAAAGATCTAAAAATTATCATTGTTATATGGAAGGTCAGCAGAAATAATAGGTTAAAATATTCACCATAAATTTAAGCAGCATTCTAACTTGATCTTAAAAATATTAGCAAAATAATCTAGGTGTGCCTCTTGGGCAAATTTTGTGAACAGTAAAATTTTATCCTCTCAAGGAAAAGTGCATGTGATACTTTATTCTGCTGGATATCGTTCAGTTATTTTAACACAATGGGCTCTGGCAGGAATTTAAAGAAATGCAGTCTGTTAACAAAATGTAATCAGACATATCATGGGCGTCTGCATGCTGTGCTTGTTAATTGAAATGAGTGTTAGTACACCAGTTTTCTCGCTATCAGGGCATGCAATTTTTCTTTATTATTTTCTTCTTGGGTTTTGCTAAAAAAGTGCTTAAGTCTGCAATTGAGAAATTGAAGATATTTGAAATTGATGTGTCTAAGTTGCCATTTTTTTTTATAACTTCACTCATGCTTTAGGTAGCTTGGCATGAGACTAAATATTCTCCAGAAGGTTCACATGTAGAATAATAATTTTTGATAATATATGTTAAGTTTGTTTTTAATATTGCATTTACTTTTATATAGTAATATTTTAAAACAGTAGTACATTTGAATGTCTTACATTTTTCTTATTATTGTAGTTATTATTGAAATAAGCATAACTTGTATTATGTTCTTAAAATTTCCTCTTTCATATTTACATTTAACATGCAAATTAACTCTGGAAAAAGATCTTTAGCTTTTAACCAAGAATAAGTTTTACAAAGCAATTAGTGACCTAAACGCAATAAGAATTGCTGATATCCAATTTTACAAATAATGTGCATAATTCATTTGAAATTGTGATGCTTTGTAAATTTGCATGTATAAATTGTTAAGTGTAAAAACAAAGCTTTTACAAATATAATTAAAATATTAGATTATTCACATGTTATTGCCTCATTTAGATCTAATATACTGAAGTGCCACTCAGTTTGGGATAGACATGGCTATGCAAGTTTTGTAGTGCTGCGCCGCATTTATGCTGACGTGAGGGCATTGTGGTTACTTCAAAAATAGCTAGTACTGTGGTTGTTGTTAATCAGTTGTTTCAATTGACAGTATGGGTAAAGCTTCTGATTTAGACACCTTCGATTGCAAACAGATAGTAGGGGCTCGGCGCATGGGCATTCAGTTTCCGAAATCATCGGAGGGCTAAGATTTTTAAGGTCGACAGTGTCAAAAATATACCGAGAATACATGGATGTGGGGGACTAGCGATCGGGCAAATCGCAAAGGACACATAGCCTGGAACCAGCGTGGTGTCAGACGACTCAGCAGTACTGTATATAGCCAGTGAAGCCAAACATTAGCTCAAATTACAACCCAGCTGAATCGAAGCCAGTCTTATAGATATTAAACGGATCGTGCAATGCTCGCTTGACTATATAGGCTTCGGGAGCCGTAGACCCACGAGAGTACCATTGCTCAATGTATGCCATCGAGCTGCATGTCTTGCCTTGGCAAGAGAATACAGAGAATGGCTCTAGAGAATTGGAAATGAATAGCATGAAGTGATGAGTCTCGATTCTGACTCCTTAACACCGATGGAAGGCTGAGAATATGGTGTAAGACCCATGAAGCCATCGATCCTGCATGCCATGTTGGAACTGCACAGGGCCATGGCGGCTCAATCATGGTCTGTGGTGCTTTCTGTTGGCAGTGTGTGGAACCTTTGGAACTTGTACCAACCTCACTCAATATTATTCGGTATGTAAAGTTGCTGGGCCGTCATCTCTGTCCATTTATGTTGCCCTGTCATTCACATGGAAATGGAGTATTCCAGAAACATAACTGCATCACTTACAGGTCCTGGTTGGCTACTGTCTAGTTGAATGAGCATTTCTCTGATTTCTCTGTCATGAATTGGCTTCCAAGAAGCCCTCACCTAAATTTTACTGAGAACCTTTCAGATGTGGAGAAAGGTATGAAACCACATCACACAAAACTAACGACCCTTGCTGAATTATGGATAGCTCTATCCTATGTTTGGCAAGCCATTTCCATAGAATGCTTCCGCAGACTTACTGAATATAACCTCGTCGTGTGGTAGCCATTACAAAGCCAGTATAGGCCCAGCTCGTTATTGAATTTCGATCCTTAATTCGTTGGCACTTCAGTGTATTTGTTACCTATATTAATATATTCATTGTGTAGACACATTATGTTTTCTTGAAAAATTGAGTTAAGTCTATCTTTTGTAGCAATTTTGAAATACTATGTAATTTTTAAATTTTATGAACATAGCGTAATATTTATTTAAAAATATGCTACAGAGCTGAGTATAAAAGCAAATTACACAGACTTTTTTTTTTTTTTTTTTTTTTTTTAAGGTAGCTACTAGGCTTGCCTATGGAACTGCGCTTGTGAAACTGGGAGCTAATAATAAGCGTGTTATTGCCTTAGATGGAGACACAAAGAATTCTACATTTTCTGACAAGTTTAGGAAAGCCTTTCCTGACCGATACATTGAATGCTTCATTGCAGAACAAAATCTTGTAGGTGTTGCTGTAGGTTGTTCTACTAGAGGCCGAACCATTCCTTTCACTAGTACATTTGCAACATTTTATACAAGAGCATTTGATCAGCTGCGAATGGCAGCAATATCCCAAGCTAATATCAACTGTTGTGGTTCTCATTGTGGAATTTCCATTGGTAAAATATTTTTCATTATGAATCATTTGGTGCTTATTGCTCAAGGTCAAAATAGCTGATTAATGCTATTTTTTAAATGTAAATCTGTGCAGTAGAAGTTTTAATTAGCTTTCCCAATCTGAAAAATTTAAATGAACATGTGTTGTTATATTTCAGGTTTATAAAACTGTCAGTAAAGAGTAGTAGACATTATGTACTATATTCTTTAATGCAAATCAATATTATGTACTAGAGTCTTAAATGTAATGTACAACAAAAATGTTATTTTTATATTAGGTATGTCTTCGAAAATTTCATACATTCAGATTTCTTTTTACACCATATTGTTTTTAGCGTATCCGGACATAATCCCGATAAGCCAGAATTCCGACAGACGGAATCCCGACAAGCCAAAATCCCGACAGGGTCGAAATCCCGATTGTCCAATATCCCGACAGGGTCAAAATACCGACACAGACGAAATTCCAATAAGGCCTAATTACCTATTAATACTTCCACAGCTGCAACTAGTATATGCATTGATGATTAGCAAATCTGAAGAAAATTACAAAAGATTATTCCAAGATTTAATTGATTTCGCTGAAGAAAATAATATTGAACTGAGGCCATCTAGAATCATTAGTGATCTAGAAAAGGCAGCTATAAATGCTCCGGGCACTCAAAATGCTGTCGAGGATTGGCACAGAAGATGGGAGACCTTAATTGGACGGACCGTTTATAACATCATAGAAGAATTTCAAAAAGAACAGGAGCATGTGGAATACCAAGTTGAATGCATTCTTCGCGGAGAACAACAACCAAAACATAGGAAGGTAGATGATGACAGAGAAAGGAGAATTATGACTGTTGCGGACGATCGTGATAATCGACCTGTGATGGAATATCTTCGTGCTATCGCTCACAATGTGTCACTGTAAATATGTCGTTTGCATGTGTAAGTGATGTTTTCTTTTTCTTAATAAAAAAATTTTATAAATCTTCATTTCAAATTTTAACGGTCATTTCAATTTGTTAAAAATTATTTAAGTAATGACATAATTTTTATAATTTTTTGATTTAAACTTTTAATTAGTAATATGTAATAGTTAGTTAAAAATTGTATTTTATTAAGCTAAATTGAGTGTTTGTATTTAGATATTAACTTGTCGGGATTCTGGATTGTCGGGACTTTGGGTTGTCGGGATTTCGGCCCTGTTGGGGTTTTGGACAGTCGGGATTATGACCCAGACCCTTTTTTAGCAATAATGTAATTTACCATCTTCTACGTTATGCATATATGTAGTTGATGTTGGCTATTGATCTGAATCAAAAGGTTCTGTTCAACATATAAGGTGTAAGAGAAACAAATAAGTAATAAAAAATAAAGGAAAATCTGAGTTTAGACTATTTAGATAAGTTATAGGAGAAGTTGAATCAAAGCGAGTCTTAGCTGTTAGTCTTTAATTTCAAAAGTTAGTTATTGGGTTGAGCACTAAACCATCTATCAATACTGAAACTGTTCAATTTTTCTTGCAAGTTCTTGGTGTGAGATGAAACTGTCATCTTAGTCTAGATTAGCTGGAGTAGGAAAATGTCTGTATTCCTATGGGAACCATGGATAATCTTAGAGAAGCCTATAGAATGTGCTAATGGAGAAACAGACTATCATCTTGATACATTGAAGACTTCTTAAAAAAAACACCTCTGCTTGAGCTTCCAAGTAGATATCTGTGGTGATCTTTTTTTTTTTCCTTAGTTACACTGGTTTCCAAAAGAAGCAACAGCAAAAGTGATAAAGTACTCAGAAAGTATGCAAGCAAATTGGATGAAACTTGATAACAGCAATATAGACCTGACAGCGATGTCTCATGCTGTTCATGATGTTGTCCGTGAATTGAATGGGCCATCAAAGACCATTGATCACATAAAGCAGTTTTAAGTCCATCTAGGGTCTGGGGAGGCTAGCAGCAGGCCTCTTGAGAGCATTTTATACATTCTTAATGAGATTCAGGTTGGGAGAGTGTGCTGGGTATTCCATTTGGGCTATAGTTTCTTCAAGAAATTAATGAACAAGAGGAGTAGCATGAGGGCTGGAATTCTCTGTTTGCAAAATGAAGGTATTGAAAATGCTAACAATAAGACCCAGTATATAGTCTCTGTATTTCTGAGCGCTAAGACTTATATGTGACAGCACATGAAAGTCTGTGTGCCTTTCTGAAGACACTCTTTTTCATACCAGAACACTACCTCCTGCATGGGTATCCCTTTTCTGTTTGTTAGATGGAAGAAATCAAGTGTTTGCTTCTCTTCATGTGTAAACATATTTATAATCACTCTATAAAGCAAAGTGGGACTCGTCAGAGAACAGAACAGCAACTGATTTTCAGTCCAGTTTACATGACTATGTGCCTAATTCAAATGCTTCTTTACTTCCCTGCACAGAAAACTAAACTACTGAGAACCCAGAAAGTAATGAAAATTGGATTAAACCCAAAATAATGATCTTAAGTCAAACTTCTCAACCAGACAAACAATAGAACAGATCTGAAACCCTGCCCATAGGAGATGAAATGGACCATGAAACCACTAATGGCAAAACAGAGGATCATGAGAAAGCAGATGTTGTGAACTTCACTAAATAACACAAAACAGCCAATAAAATATCTCTATTCGTTATTTCTGAAGGTAACGTTAACTGGAAAGAGTTTTAAAAAAGTAAATTGAACTGTTATGGGAGAGAAATTTAATAGGATATCCAAAAGGAGAAAATTTCATAATGTTACCAGATTTTTCAAAGAAAAAGGGTTATTCCATATCATACTTGCGCATTGAAATCTGACAAACCAATCAAGGCTGTGATTAAGAAATTACTATCAAACATCGATATCCGATACAAAAGAAGAGCTAAAAGCTCAGAATATCCCACTAGTAATATACTGCATTAGTAATTAAAAATCATAAGTTTTCCTGGTATATCTTCCCTACTCCACTGCACATGCTGTGATTTATTGGAAAACAAGTGAAACATTCTTATTTACTTCGGTCTGTGACAAATCAAGATCTTCATAGTTTAACCTGTGTTGGCTTGCTAATCTTAATAGTTGTAAACTTCAGCTTAAAATCCTGACTGAAATTTTGGACATTTCAATACGAATGGTAGAATTCTGAATAATTTTGATACACAGAATGGAATAAAAATTGTAGGACCAAATTCTCCAAACAGAATAAATTATAATGCTTCGACAGAAGTATTAGATACTTTTATTAAAAGGGTTACATCATAATAAGAGAAGAAATGTACCAGTTGGCATTAATTTCGAGGAAAACTAGATTCATTAAACTTTCAGTCCCAGGCTTAGCATTATCTTTCATATAGAACTTGCCTTCACTAATCTCAACAGCAGAATTAGAAAAGCACTTTATAGTCAAAATCATAATATTGTCCCAGTTCATATTTTTGATAAAATTCGGCACAATCAAGTAAGAAAATATTGGAAGCTCACCAGAGATCCTAATGTCAAAAGAAGGCTCAGTAGCCTAGTCAGGGAAATAAGTGATCTGATTTCCGAATAGAGAACTGAAAGATGGAAATCACTTTAAACTAATTCAAACAGGAGACATTATGGAAAATATAAGGTTCTTATGATCTGAGTGTCCTAATGGTGTCAACCCACTTACACAGGTAATCACTTAATCAGAGCAAGAAATTGTGGTCATTTTTGCCAAAACTCCATAAGAAATCTTCAACTCTAGCTTGTAACTAAATACAACTATGCAAATCTTAAATGTTGTGGAAAACATCCATAAAGCATTTATTAAAAAGCAATTTGTGGCTTAAAAGTTTCCTAGATATGGACATTCGATAAAATTTGGCATCAAGGACTGATTTTTAAACTTGCAACAATCAAATTGCCTCTTGGGATGCTGAAGTTTTATCTGAAATGTTGAACTTCCTAGGTGTGAGTAGGAGGTAACTTTCAACCAAAAAATTAATCTGTTTGGCCATACCTCAAGGTTTGGTTTTAGTGGCGACTCGTTTAACATACATGTAAATGATATGTCAGAACCACTAAATTGCAAGTTTAGCCAAGATGTTGATATTGAAATCAATTGGGCCACAGCATGCCACTGACAATTTACAATCGAGCCTTATTGTAGCACCTGGGTGCGAAATATGAAAAATCAAACTAAATGCAAGCAAATGCAATGTCATTTTATTTGAATGCTAAAAGAAAAAATCTAGTTAACCTAATTGTATGAATGGATAATCAGTTACTCCCAAAGCAAATTCAACCATATATTTAGGCATCGCAAAGATGCACAACTGAATTTTAAAGAACAGGTGATCTGTGCACTAAACAAGGTTAGTAAACAAGGTTAGTAAATAAAGTTAAAAATATGAAAGCGTAATTTATGAAATAAAAAGCAATTATGATCTAAAGGGTATCGAAATTTATAAAAAAAAGTTTAATATTTATTTATTTATTTACTTTATTAAACATTTCTTTAGACGCGCGCATGTGTAATTGGAAATTCTTTTTGACATAATCGGAAGTTCAAGCTTACTTTTTATAAAATTGCTCTAACAGTCTGCAAAAAATAAGCTGGATCCAATTCGAAGATTAAGGAACAATGCAATCTGCAACATTAACTGATAAAGAAGTAGATAATGAAGTAGATAATTAGATAATTTTAGCTTAGCTTATACCGTCCGTTATACATTAAACGCGCATGCGTAAAACGCATATGCTCGTGCGTAAAAGTATTATGCGCATGCGTAAACGCATTATGTGTTTACGCATGTGCAGAAAGTTTGTAGCTTTGAGGTCCGGATTATAGATCATTCCGGATTATGGACGTCCGGATTAAAGACTTGACTGTATATTGATACTTTTATAATGGTCTTCAATATAAGTAGTAAAGGTCTTACGAGGTATATCATCAACGGCTAGATTTACAAAGTAACTTTAGTAAGGACTTATATTAGTAGTTAAATCTACATATAGTAAAATTACTTTTCAGGTGAAGATGGTCCTTCACAGATGGGTCTGGAAGACATAGCTATGTTTCGTTCCTTGCCAGGAAGCACTGTCTTCTATCCTAGTGATGCTGTGTCAACAGAGAGGGCCTGTGAATTAGCAGCTAATACTCAAGGCATTTGTTTTATCAGAACATCACGACCTAACACCCCTGTTTTGTATGCTAATGATGAACCATTTGCAATTGGAAAAGCTAAGGTAATTTGCTTACTGTTTTGTTTAACATAGCTTGGCATTTCTTTAATATTACATTAAATGTAAATTGAGCTATTTAGATGATTATAGTGAAGTACTAGGTGTTTCAGATAGATTGCACATGTGTATCGTATATGTTGTTGTGACTTATCTCACTAGTCTGACAGTAACATCAAAACAAGCCCACGGAATTCAGCGTAGCGAGGAGTATTAGACTACACCTGTAGTTGGCCAGGGCACTATACAGGTGACAGTATGGCTTTGTTCATTTCCACCCCCAATTTTGATGGAGAGCTTTCCGGGGTAGATGGCTCTGAGTTTCTCCCACCCTTCTTTCCCTACTACCAACCTCTCGAGAGGACTTTTGGTTTGCTGATATTTAGAGTGCCCTCATGCCACACAGAAATTGTACATTTACAAACACTCATGCCTTCTCTAGGATTTGAATGCGGCCCCTTCGGTACAGCAATCAGCATCGTTAACAACTATCCCAGGAAAGTAACGAGACCTCCCTGCAGTTAAGACGTGAAAATCTTTGTTTTAAGCATTATTTCAAAGTCTTATCACAAACCGAAAATTCTACGCGGTCAAAATTGCTTAATGACCAATACTCCCGTTTATATCAGGCACGACCATCATGTGTCCCATCTTTCGGCTTGCGGATGAGTGCGTTGGTGGAGGAGTATAATTTGTCCAATATAGATATACAGATGGAGGATTTTTTTGGAATCCTCCCTGGGAGGATTGGAGAATCCATTCTCTGGATACTTTCGACACTGGAATAAATCACAAACTAATGAAATCATCTACAAGCAGATTTTTTTTCAAATAGAAACAAATATAGGAAATATATCCCTCTATATACAGACGGATCAAAATCCCAGGATCATGTTGGCGCTGCTTTCGTCACAGAAAAAAAAATAGTACGGGTTCGATTACATACAGTTTGCTCTGTGCTTACTTCTGAGCTTACTGCAATCCATCTGGCTTTGACTTACCTTTCAAAACAAAAGTACATAAAATTTATTATCTACACAGATTCCATGAGTGGCCTTAATGTCATTGAAAAATCACGCTCAATGTACTCATCCAGTTGCAATCAGAATCCTAAAGTGGAATCATTCTTTAAAAATTCGGGGATACCAGATTCTATATTCGTGGATCCCTGGAACACGTTGCCATTAAGGGGAATGAATTGGCAGATATTGCAGCTAAAAACTGCAACCACAATGTACAATCTTCAGATTCCATAGCAGACATCAAAGGGTTTGTCAAAGCAAAATCCTCAGCAAATGGCAGAAGTAATGGGATGACAAATTTTATAACAAGCTGAGAAATGTAAAACCCACCATTGGATACTGGCCATGTAGGCTAATAGAAAGGAGAGTCCTCTTGACTCGACTGAGAATTGGCCATTGTCGCCTGACCATGAGTATCTCTGAAGGGGAGGAGAAGAGAATCCCAGCTGCCCAAACTGCAATGCAGATCTGACAGTCCATCATATCTTGTGGAATGGCAGAGTTTTAATTATTTTCGCCAAAAAAATTTTAATTGTTCAGAACTGACTTAGGAAATTTAATTGGAAAAAGCACATCATCGTAATTTTTTTGTTTTTTTTTTTAAAAGATATTGTTTTATAATAGACTTTAACTGTTTTTAAAAGAATCAGTCTTATCATAGACTGTAATCTCTCTACCTAGCTAGAAGTTTTTATAAATGACTAATTGCATTGTTACCATTTGTCTGACGCAGATAACCTTGACAGGTTTTGTGCCAAATTACAATAATCCAATCCAAACAACTATCCCAGTTGGGAGGCCGTAAATGGTTTATTAGTGATTCATAATTCAAATTTAATGAATTAAATTAGATAGTTCTTTAAACTTACTACAGATTTGGGCATATACTTTCTGTAAAAGTGTACAGCTTGGATATTCATTTGGGCTTCCTAAGGAGAAAGGTCAGTAACCAAAAATATTATCCGCAATGAAATATGTTAGGCAAAAAATGACCATTCTAAATTACCCAAGGTATCATTAAAAATATGAGCCAGTTTTCCTGCAAAAGGTCATCCAGCTTTTGAATGTGAATTTCTGATACCCTTGTTAGGAAATATTCATTTGAGTTTTGAATTATCATCTGTAGATATGCTACAGTTCATTATTTTGTATTAAAGTAAAATTTTATGACCTGTTAATTGGCTGTTCTTTCCCCACCTTTTTTGGGTGATTTAGGTCATATAAAATTTTGACTTATTTCAAAGCCAAATTTTTATATTATGGATTAGTTTTTTTTTTCCTTCATGTAACATATGGTAAAACGTGGGTAATACTTCGATTTTAGGAGAGGCTAGAGCATCATACATTTCTGTAAATGAGTACAGTACAAAGTCTGTAATCCGGACTCGTCGGGACTTCGGCGATTCCGGATTAGGGGTTTTTCTGGATTATAGATTATCAATTTAAATCTGGTAAGATGGCATGCAGAAATTATAAAATTAAAAATGTGAAATCGTAATGTATGATATAAAGAGCAATTATGATCTAAGGGGTATCAAAATTTACAAATAAAAGCTTAATATTTTTCGTTTATTTTATTAAACATTTCTTTCAATAAGTTTTTTAAGTGCTTCGTTTTTTTTTTTTTTTTTTTTTTTTTTTGCTAATATTTTCTCTTTAGTTCTCTCTTCTATAAACAGACATAATTTCATGTTCAGTTAAAAAGTTCCACTGTTCAAATCGTGTAATTGCTGGGTCGAGAATACCAACTAACTTGTCAATCGAAATTTTTTCGTTTTCAATAACCTCTCTGTCACTTTCTTCACTATTGGAAGCGCGCATGTGTAAACGCTTTACTGGCTTTATGTGCACATCAAATGCGTAAGTTTGTGGCTTTTGAGGTACAGATTACAGATCATTCTGGATAATGGATGTCCTGATTATGGGCGTTGTACTGTATATGGTATTTTTGATTAATGTTAATGGGTATTTTTTTTTCCCTTGAGTGTTTGGGTTTTCAGTTCGGTTTGTAATCAAGAATAATACCTTGTTTATGTGGAATGTTTCTGGCGTGAGTGTTACAGTGTCAAACAGGTGAAAATTTTTAACAAATTACGTGAATCAAAATTGGATTATGTATGTAACTACATTGGATGGGAAAATATGGGAAAAGAAACACAGTTAACAGAAACTTGAGGATTATATGGGTAAAAGCTGTTAAATCTCTACTTGAAGAACTCTTTGGTCAAGGGCCATTTACATATTGATAATTTTTTTGTGTCTTCATCACTGGTGCACGAATTCATTAGCTTCAGAACATAGATTGTAATAGGACAAGGAAAGAAATAACTAAAAATTTTCTGCTGCCCAAAATGAAAATTCATAAGTTGTTGATCTTGCAGAAGAAAAACCTAAACTTCATTGCTGTCAAAGATGGATGGAAAGTGTTAATTACTTTGGCAATGCATGATGTAAACAAACATGATACTGGGAAGAAAGATCAGACTAGTTAATCCTATCATGAAGGCAGAGTACATCGTACAGTACGATAAGAATATGCAGTGTTATTCCTAGGATTTTTTTGGAAGAGTAAAAATGCTCCTTGACTTTTTTAGGAGGAGTGAAATACAGAAGTAGCGTAAACTACATGTACAGAGACAAATTTTCTATAAAAAAACACTTTTTGAATGGACAAAAAGAATGAGGATGCTATTTTGGTTTTTGACAATTATAACCTGTGTTAAGTATTAGTAGAAATAAGAAATATTAAGCATTATAAATAAAAGAATTTATTTTACATTAAACATTCTAAATAAAATATTTATTTAAAATTACAAATTTAATATCCTTTTCTTCCAATTTTTCCACTATGTTACAGCTGATTTCCTTACAATATCGAAACTCTTTCAAAATTAAAGTTACAAAAAACATTTATTCTTAGTTACATTACAATTTTAATCTCTTTTTCCCCTGATTTTCTTACAATATCACAGCTCTTTCAAAATTAAAGTCACAAAAAACATTACAATTCTAATCTCCTTTTCCTCTGATTTTTCCACAAAGTTACCGCTCTTTCAAAATTGAAATCACAAAAAAAAATTTCCCTTTTGTTCTTTGAAATCTGGGCCTTGTTCAGATATTCTCGTTAGAATTTCCAGTTGTTTTCCCCCCAATCTATTTCTCCTATTTGATCCTATTTTGAGTAGAAAATCATCTTTCACAAACAGCCATTGATAAAGGTATAGTCATAGCTATTTGTGCCAGGGCTGTAAATCCTGGATATAAGAGTTCACCATCTAAACTTGATGAGAACAACAAATTGGCAAACTGTTTAAAATTGAATTCTCTGTAGTGTGCATAAAACACTGTACTTCAAGGTAACTCTTCTACTGAAAACCAAAACCGAAACATATAATGTTTAACATTATCTAGGACTCCAATCTGATGATTTGTTGTTGTAACACAAGAGGGAAAACAAAACATCAAAATCCTGCAAAAGATGCATCTGCTGGAAATTAAATCCTTCTTGCAGATTCTCTATCAGTGCACTCAAAAAAGCATTTTTAGCACTCATGAAATCATTTAAAGATTTAGTAGAAACAGATAATTTCATATCTTGAATTTGATAATACTAATTATTAAGGGCAGACTCTAAAAATTCCTTTAGATGAGTGCCATGACCTTCCTCCTTTTTCATTTTCTGCATGCGATAAATAGTTGATTCTAGACTGTTAACCAACACTGAGAAGTCCACATCAATGCTCTGAAAAATTCTACTGTGTTGTCATAATCAGTAACACATCTTTCAAAAATGACAAGGTGGCTGCAAAGGAAAATTGTGAGCATTGTTAAGTAGTCCTGAGCCCTTGTCCAGAGGATTGCCTGTTTTTCTGTTTGCAATTATGTCTGTCAGGGTAAGGATCACAGCATCATAACGGATATGACATGTATCAATTGCATTCCCAAGTGACAACCACCGAACAGCTTTATGTCTTTGAGAGTAAT